TGGGGGATATGGGATATGGCCCCGCGTCAGTTTCTATCTAGCTCCCCATGCAGCCGCCGATGTAGGATATAGGATATTGCCCCACTAGTAATTTTCATCCGGGAGGGCGGGTCCGTTCGGGAACAGGGGTGATGAAGGCAGCTGGTCTCAGCAGCTCTTGCACTTGCACTTTCGGTTCTCAGGGTGTTTTGTGGGTGGAAACTGGAAACCTTAGTGGGTTGGCCAGGGTGGTCGCCTACGGCCCTGCGGGCCCACGGGTTGGGCTGGGTTATTGTACAGATTGTGTAGACATGAGACTCAAACCTTCGCTGGGTTTGGTTGCGTTTGTGTTCGTCAAAGCCGTGCGAAAAAATGTTCAAAAAAACCCTGGGGCTGCCTTACCCTAATTTAGTTAATTCCCGTGGAATTAGACTTACCTTGCCCTAATTCCTCATAACCCTAGTAGCTTGTGTAGCACAAGCAGGCACTAGGCACTCCAAGGTTCCCTACCTTCTTTGTCTGCTGTCCCCCTCTTTGGTCCGCCAGTGTCACCTTGAACCTCCTCGCCTCGGTCCTCTACCTCCCACACGTGCCTTTGTTGTCCAATTGAGATTTGAAAAGGGCCGTGGGCCGTAGGACATGAAGATTTTTTCGTGCAATCGCACGATCATGCTTTTGCGCTTGAAGATTTGACTTGATTCTGCATTTTCTCATTATGATTCAGTCAGCATGTGGAGTCTGGAAGATTGAAGATGTGCAGCAGCTGCAGCTGCGCGTGCTCAGGCAACCGGCTAATCAGAAGACACGGCCACTTCCAAAGTAATATCATTTGTCGTTGAGTCAAAGCACCTGGAGCCTCAAACCCTGAAACCCGACTCAGGACTGGATTCCGGAACTTATGAATTTCACATGCCCATTTCCCAAATAGGCATTCTGCTTGAAGCTCTGTCGCCCGCATGATTCCATGGTTTCTTGCAATGCCTGTATATGCATTGTGGTTGTGTGTGTGCTGGGGCGAAACGCCTTCGGGGGTACGGCGGCAATATTAAGAATCTGAGGGTTGCGGAAGAGCAGCACTTGCGGCTGGCCTTTCTGGATTCTTATTCTGCAGAAGAAGCGACGTTGCACGAACAGCAGCTGCCTTTAAAGGGTCTGATGATCACCAAGCATACGGATTTGGCAGAGAACGTAGTGGGGCTAGCATTCGTGCGTTTGTCGAATGTTTATTCTTCACGATTGGATAACCTCACTCCCGAGCAGCGTGTTGTGCCACTGGTCTTAGAATTATTGAGTTAGTTTGGGGAAGTTTTTTTGATCAGATTTGGGTGCAAGTTGTGTGTGGCTTGGGGGTTCCTGATCTTGGGCTAAAAGGTTTAAGTTGGTTGGATGTTGTTCCCGCAATAGTCCCCAACTTTGTAGTGGCAATTACGAATTACGAACTTCAGAAAGATATCAAAATCAGACATAACTCCATGGATTAGGTAAGGTTATATATGGGAGGCTGTTTGTTGGGTGTCTTCGTAAGGTTGGCGCTTCGCAGTAAAGAGTTTGGCACGGTTGGCACTGGTTTTGTGCAGATTCTTGAGTTCATCGCCTTGCCGACTCCACAATATGCGGTGCACAAAGGTGGAGGCCAGCGAGCTTGGACAGAGTGTTTTCAGCTCACCCTGGGGTGTATCAATAGAATGCTGGAACAGTCTTTACCTGATGGTAGGTCCGTTCAGGATCGCGTACAAGAAGCTTTCCACATGTTTCTTCATTCGGGAGAGGAAATCCCAAATGCATCTCTGCGTGCAGGGGCTGGGGCTGGGCTTGACGTGACGGATTCAGCTTTGCAAATTCCTCTTGGACTTTGTTTTTTAATCAAGAGCTCTTGCTGGAGAACGCTGGCTTTATGTCACAAGGCTAAATGGGATGCGGATTGTGACGTTTTTCCGTTGCTTATGAATGTCAGGAATGCTGCAAGTGGATGTGATCTGCAAGGAGCTTCCCTGCCAACGTTCGTAGCTGCAATTGATTTGCAACCTGCGCCTCAGTTCTTTAGCATGCTTGCTGATGACCTTTGTGAGTGGGGCCGTGCAATTATAGCTGCGTCCTCAGATGCGGACAGAACCATATCTGACCTGGAGCAGTACGTAGCATGCGGGAAGCTACTTGCAAACAGAGGGTTATGGCGCACGCCTGGGAAAGGAGTACTGCAGGTTGCTTGGGTCGTTTTAACAAGGTCTCCCAGTCTCATGGCAGATATCGTGCAATCTTTCTGATTCAATGTGTTTTGTTGGCGTTCCATTTGAAGTCTTCCTCAACATTGGGCTTGGCATTGCAAAGAGCTTTTGCTGTTCTTCCAGATATTTGGAGCAAGACGCTTGCGGAATGCTTTGCAGTTGAGTGCATGCCATCTGGGGCAACGATCTCTCGGGCTAGATTGTATTTGGACACAGCATACATGATGTTCATGAGGGAGCAGCATGAGCGCCTAGTCAATCGTGGAGCAGTTTTTTTTGGGTTGATGGACAGTTCTCCACAAGGTTTCCAAAATTGGTTGATGACAGAAACATTTGGCGTGGATGGGGAGCGTTTGCTGGAAGTAACGCAAACGTTTTTTGATTTGGCCATGCTAAGCAAGAGACAGTCCGAGAGGGAACACGGCGAGGAGCCCCTCACTGTGGAAGCACTTGAAACCATTTTGGAGAGCACGGAGGCAATCAGGCGGGCTACTTTGCATCACACATTTCCTCCAACTGCCCTTGGAGTTCGCCAAACGACTTTGTCCCACAAGGTACACGCTTTCCTGCATTCTTTGCGGTTGGAGCACAGCACATGGAAGCAACTACAACTCTTCTTAGGAAGAACTTTCACCTACACATCCGACATGGGCACAGAAGCATCCCTTAGCCTCACCAGTGTCGACGTGCATCAGGACCAGAACAGCAATTCGCACTTGTCTTTGGAATTTGAAGAAGATGGCCTTGCCCTTGAAGATCAGATGATCGATGTTCAGGCCGAACCCGAACCTCAGGCGTCCCAGGATCACATCCCACCACCAGGACCTGCTGACGCTGACTGCCGTTCCCTTGATCTCAGTGCACTCTATGTTCCAGGCATGTTTCATATCATTGACAATGCTACGAAGGATGTCCTCAAGAGGAGTGTTGTTTGGAGTGATCCTGTCAAGCTAATGTTGGAGAGCGTTTTGCTTTTCTTCAACGCATTCCATAGACGCAAATGGTTTGTTGCCAAATGTTGTGTCGGACCATTTGGAGCATGGTCAGTTTTCTTTGAATCAGCCGCTCCGAAATTGGAAGGAGGCCGCGCGTGGGGTGTGGTTTCGGAGTTGCTTGGGTACTTGAGCGTAAAGTGATGCTACAGCAAGCTTGGGATGCAGATGCTTTGCTCGCAGCTGGTGCTGCTCCAGTGCCAGATGGTGCTGGTGACCGGGATGCGCAGCAGCAGGAGTCCACAAAACTAGTGACTCGTGTGGATGAAGCATTGCGCAGTTCATTGTTTTGGGCATTTCTCGGCATGTGTAGCTGCGTCACAGACATCTTGAATAGCATTACCAGCTGGACGCAGGGTTGTGCCTGTCACGGACGTGAGGTGAGACTTCAGCTCAGGCCACTCTTGCGTGGCAAAGGCCCTTTATCATGTCCTATGCGTGGGCGCCGAGCCCCTGAAGTTGCTGAGGGAGCCCTCCACAGATTCATTGATGGTTTGTTCCATTTCAATGATTCACAGATTTTGCTCGTGCATTCAGCTGGTTTAGACGAAGAAATCAAAACGCGCCTCATTTTGGATTGGAGTGCAATGAAGGTTCACATGCGCATGCAGTTTGACTTGAAGCTTTCTCCTTGGCGACAGCTTCCTCTCAGTGCACTTGCTTTGGGACATTGGGATGTGTCTGTAGCCCAGCGGCTGATGTGGGAGTGTATGGTTGAGTGGGAAAATTTGGATGCCGAGCAACAATCAGCAGCCCATCCGCGCAGCAAAGAACTTTTTCGCAATTTCCGAGCGGAAGTGTTGAGTTTTGTCAGAGGCGAGCCAAGCGCAGCGTGGCCTAGACTACAGTACATGCGGGCCCAATCTGCATTTGTTCCAGTGTTGGAACAATCAATCGAGCGCAGACACGCACTGCTACATCAACACATCAAGTCCGCTCCGCATCACAGTGCGGCATTTGTGTCCTTATGCGAACGAAAGGAAGAAATCCTTGCCCTCATTTCAGCCTAGACTGGGGGGAGGGAAGCGATTGAGCAACTATCTAAATTTTGCGAGGTAACCCGCGCACCAGCACTTGTAGCAACGTCTTTGGGTTTGGCTCGGCATGAAGAATTTGCCGAGTACTTCGACATTGATTCTGCAGAGCTTGCTGTTGGAATTCCACATTGCTTGGTAGCGTCAGTGGTATATCGTTGTGATTTGAAAACCCAGTACACAGCCCTCCCAACTGTGCACAAGCGACCTTACACTCCATGGTATCTAGGTGTGCAGCACCCTGGTCCTGCTCCTGCCCTAATGGATGGTGATGTTGGAGGTGCCGATGGCGAGTCTTCAGCCCCAGCAGAGCCCCGCGTTCATGGTGAGGGTCAAATCGAGAGATCCAGCGATGAGCATCTCCGCAACATGCTGGGGTTTCATGCGTGGGCCCACCTAACATCAGCTGCTGGTCCTGAAGACTTTTTCTCTCTCACCCCAAGCCAAGCGTTGCCTGTCAACACAGAATCGCTCATGTTGCCATTGCAGAACGCTGTGATCTCAGGGCATCGTGAAGCCAGTCGAAAGCTTCCGCTCAGTCTTTGTGATGGTCCGAGTGGTGTGGTTGTGGAAATGGATTTTGGAGATGATTCTGGGGTCCCCAGCAATCCTACTGGTTTGGAATTGGCGGTAGCTTTGCCAGGTGAGGAGTCAGTAAACCCAAGACCAGAAAGCTCTGCGTCCAACGCGTCCTCTTGTCCTCACACCCGCCCTGTGATCTTTCGTGTAGTTTCAGGCACTGTTGGCCATAAGAAGTTGGCTCGGACTGATTCTGCGTTGGAGCTCAGTGGAATCACATAGCCGTTGAGCGCTGTGCAGTGCATGAGCTGGATTTCCCAGGGCGAAAGGTTTCAGTGCATGTGAGTCAAGGAGATTGTCAGTCACAACTTTTGCAGCGACCGGCATCCTTTGAAAGTTGCTTGGCATGGCGAGTTCTTCGCACCAAGGCAGCATTTCGAGGTGTGAGTATCTCAGCTGAAGCCGAATCCGTTTTGGAGAAAATGCTGCAGGCCAACGCTACAGGTGCAGAAGGTGAGGACGGAATTTATCAGCTTAGCGTGCATTCTGAAGATTATGAATCCCATTTGTCCGGGTTGCAAGCTTTGAAAGTTCTTGGCTTGGTAGATTCATCGGAGCGGGCCGCTGGCATATCTGCATGGACCTTTTCTGCCAAGGGCCGATCGAGTCTGTGTCAGGTAGCAGTGTTGCACGACCCTGCTAGTTTGTTGCGGTTGCCGGCAAGCAGGAGCCACCACAAAGATCTTGACAAGATGACCGTGCTTGAGCTAGTCATGCGGTTGCGTGAAGAGGGGTTCGATCTGGAAGTCCAATCAAAAGACTTGCGGGCAGAGCCTGCGCCTTTCAATCTGTCTTCAGGGAGGCCCAAGAAATGGTACATGCGGGACAGGACTGTGGAAATTTCTCGTAACTATTTGTTGGCGCTGCTTTCCCCAGACATCCTGCTAAAAAAGGGTCATGCCCAAGTGAAGCACTTGCAGAAGGCAGCGTACTACAATGAGTTGTTCGGAGCGCCGGCTCGTCGCACTAAGGGTTCCCGAAAGGCAGCCCATGGCCTGTTGATGATCTCAGATGCAGGAACTGCTGATGCCTTGCAGGATGTAGAGCCAGAGGCAGTGCCAGCAAAGGCAGCGCCCAGACGCAGGGCGCCCCAGAGAGCTGCAATCATGGATGCAAACGAAGATCCAAACTCCTCAGCTGCTGATGCTAACTCTGGTGCAAAGCAGCCCAGCCGCTTGCGTGGGATTCATGAAAAAAGCTTCCGTTGGGGAGCGGCCTTGATGACCTTCAAATCACCGAACGCTTATCAAGTGACGTGCCCTCGTGTCTGTACACACCGTAATAGTGCTGGCAAGAAGACAGCTTGCACCAAGACGAGATCTTTTGAAGTTGGCAACGCAGAGTCAGAAGCCTTGGTTATCAGGGAGTTGAAATTCTGGGTGTGCCAAGCTTTTGATTTTGCTTCAAGAACACAACACATGAAGACATGCAATTTTCAGTCGCCTCCGAGCGATGAGGATTTGGAGGCACGGAAGATAGCTGTTGACTATGAGACAGAGGATGAGGCTCTTCGCCCGGTGGTGAAGAGACGAAGAGTGCGTGGGAAGCAAGCAGATGATGGCACGCCAGAGCCAGAGCCAGCCACTTCTGCCAGGGTCAAGCAGCCAGCCTTGACAAAGAGCAAGGCGGCAAAAAGGGGAAAGCAAAGAGTGCAGCCTCTAAAGCTAAGGCAAAGTCAAGTGCAGCTGGGTCATCCGATGTTCCAGGTCCAGCAATCTCTGAAAACTCAGGTGGTTCAAGTTCCAGTAGCAGCAGCAGCAGCAGCAGCAGCTCATTGAGCAGCAGCAGCTCAGGGAGCAGCAGCAGCGATTCAGATTAGATTCTTTACGTGGGCGTGGTGACCAAACGGCCCTCCACTAGTTTTAGCTCTCCAGGGCGGATGGCCTGGAGATCTGACCACCTTAGCGACGCCCAGACCTTGACCAACTTGGCCCAAGCATAGACACGCAAGCCTGTCAGCTCGCTATCGTCGAGGACCACTCTCTCGATGGCCACCAAGACCATCACTGGATAGCGGGGTGCTCTTCGAATCAACGGAGCACCCTCGTAGA